CCAACACAGCCATAAATAAAATAAGTAAAATAAATTTATAAAAAATAAATAAATAAATAAATAAAACAGGACAACCCGGGACCTCACTAGTGGGTCTACTGTAACAATTAAAGGACAGAAACCAGGACTATCACCCAGCACAGGTGCTGTTATAAAAGTTAACTCCCCAACGTACGTGAACATTCTTGTGATGCAAGAAATACAGGTCCGTTTAAAAGCGTTACTGTAAATCTGGAGAGTTCTCATCACAAAGAAAAAGCATTTTTTTCCTATTCCTTTAATTTTGTAACTATATGAGGTAACGGATGTTCACTAAACTTACTGTGGTCATCATTTCACGACGTATGTAAGGCAAATCATCAGGCTGTACACCTTAAACCTACACAGGCCTACGTGTCACTTATATCTCAATAAAACTAGAAGAAAACAAAATAAAAGTGTTACTGATTCTGGCGAACCATATGTCAACAGGTGTTTCCTTAATCCAGTTATCAAAGTACAACTGCCACCTTGTGGGGGTGTGAAGAACTGTCTGGCCACTAAAAGAAGGGTTGGGGGCAGCTGTGTCACTATTGTGCTGCTCTGACCTCGTCCAGAGCAGAAGCAGGGGGTGGGATGGAGCTGGGACCAGGGGCGTGGACTCACCTTGACCTGCTCGTTTGAGGTGACAGCGCAGAAAACAATCTCCGTGAAGCCCTGGGTGGGAAACATGCGGAAGCAGATCCCACCAATGACCCGCCCGTCCTTGATCAAGGCCAGAGTCTTGTGCTTCCTGAGGGGAGAGGGGTCAGGTCACAGGCCCTACCTGTCCCCCAAGTGCTCCCCAGGAGCCCACAACCACCCCGGAGGCCTGAGCTGTTCACGGTGCTGGGAACTAAGGAGCAAGAATCGCCCAGGGTTGGAGGAGGAGGCCTGGGGAGCAGTGGGGAGGCCAAGGAGGAGGTGCCCGGGTGTGGTGGCCTGGGGCTGGGCTCTCCTGGGGACATACGGGTCAAAGACGAGACGGGCGATGTACTCCTTGGGCATGCGTGGCAGCTGGTGGGAGAAGACGTTCTGCAGCCCTACGAGCCACAGCAACACCCGCCGGTTGGCCTTGGGTGTGAGCGAGTTGCCGATGACGTGGAACTCGATGATGCCGCGGCGCTCCTCCAGGCGGGCAGTCTCATCCCGGGCGGCGTTGGCCGACAGCAAGCTCGTCTGGGCACCAGAGCAGGGGTGTTGAGCTGGGGTCTCAGGTGGTGAGCCACCACCCCACCCCCAGCACAACTGGCCCATAAGCTGGGCTGCCCACCTCAGGCCCCAGCATGGCCGCGGGATCCGTGATGGTGAGCATGACCTCATTGACGAGCTCCATGGGGATGTCGCCCATCACACGGAGCCGTTTGGCATCCTCCAGGGTCAGGTTCTCTGGGAGCTTCCTCTTCTCACCTGCTGAGGAAGCTGGCAAAGTCTCCCAGGGACAGCAAGAGGGGCTGGGGGAGGGGTGAATGAGGGGTAGAGGTCAGGGGTCAAGCACCCACCTGGCATGGGCTCAGCCCCTCCGGAATCCAGGCTCAAGGAGCTGTTGCTGCCCCCAGCCATGGTGGGGCTGAAGATGGGGGCGCTGGGAACAACCGCAGCGCTGACTGTAGCTGAGAGAGAGACGAAAAAATCAGGGGATGGAGGCTGAAGGCGCTGGTGTCCCTCTAAGGGATCCAGGCTTTCCCACCCCCAGCTGAGCCCTCCTGTGCTTCCCCACTGCTGCCATTCGCAGCCCCTCCTCCACTGCGGGGCTAAGGTCAGCCAGGAGGGCCAAGCAGAAAGCCTACTGTGTGTGGCACATACCCGGCCGGGGCACCAGCTGGGTTCCCTCTGAGGGCGGCATGGTGAAGCCCGACTCCCAGATTGGAGAGTTTGCCCCGTAGATCTCCTCCTCCAGCATAGACAGGAATCTGCGGGGAGGGTAGAGTCTGTCCCACAGCTCTGTCCTCCAACCGAGGGAGCAGCCTGGGCCAGACACGGGAAGGCCTGGAGGCTGCCCTCAGGGAACTGGGAGACAGAGACAGCCTCTGCCTTCAGACGAGGAAGAGGCACAGCTCCCTGTCTTCTGGGAGCCCCCCGTTGAAGGTAGGAGGACAGGATGATCCAGAACAGAGACTAGAAGCCCAGTATGCCACGGTGAACAGCACAGGGAGACAGGGTCTGAACCAAAGCCATCCTGTGCTGTGTGCCAGGCGGGGCACCCAGTCACCCTGGGCCTCAGTATCAAAATGTGATTCCACCCTCTCCTGCCACCTCTTACTGCCACCTGGTGGCAAGAGAAGCACATGAGGGCCTGCATTAGTTGGGAAAGGCTTCTTGAACTGGGTGGCTGTAAGCCAGCTTCAAAATGAAGAGATGGTGTGGCAGAACAGAGAAAAATCTTACAGAAAGGGCTAGGACAGGGGTGAAAAGCAGTTTCACCTCAAGTGTAAGCTCTTGAGGAGTGCTGTGGTGAGAAGGATTCTGAGCTGCATCCACACCCCATGGGAAACGGTTAGTCATGTCTACCAGGGGCGTGGGCAGTGTTAGCACTCGGGCCATGTACCTGTCATCCCCAGACTAGTACAGGAAAAGGCAAGGAGCTAGCAAATTATATCTGGGCCTTGGGCAAGTCTCCCAGGTAGAGGCCCAGATCCATCCCAGAAGATTCATGGAGTGAGAGGAAGGACCAATCCAGGAAGTCCTCCTGGAAAACAGGGGACCACAGGGAGGATGTGAACGTGGTGCAAGATCCTGACAGGCCAGAATAAGCCTTACTTGGGGAAGTGGGTGAGGATGAGGGTCCTCTTCTCGGGCACCAGCTTGTCCTTCTCCACCCGGAACTTCTCCAGCAGCTGTCGCCGGGTAACGGTGAAGATGGAGCGGAGAAGGCTCCGCCCAAAGACGTGAGTAGTCTCGTACCGGGGAAGGCTATCGCAGCTCTGGGGCACGTGGCAGTAACAGAGCCATCTGCAGAGCAGATGAGGAGCAGGGAGGTGGTAAATGAAAGCCCAGGCTGGGCCTACAAGCCTCCCCCATGCTGTCCCTGGCTGGACCTACCTGGTATAATTGACCTTGTAGGTAGCCACGTCCTCGGCCTGAGACCTCTGCCGAAATTGGGCAGGCGTCTCAAGCTTCCAGTAGTTAAGGCAGAGCAGGAACATCTTCGAGAGCTCGAACATTGTCTGCCGCTCCCGGGGAGCCAGATGACTAAACTTGTACTGCACAAAGTTCAGCACACCCTGAGAAGGGGAGGTAGGTAGGGGACAAAACGGGAGGAGGTGTGGGCAGCCAGCAGGGCCTTCTTATTCAAAAGTAGGTGCTTCCTGAGGGCAGGGGGCTCTCTGCGGCTTTTGCTCTGGAGCTGTCTGTGAGGAGAAATTATACCCCCTCCCACCTCCATGCCCACCTGAGGTTAGCCCAAAGCATCCTCCTTTCTCTGAACCTCTCCCCTGTTCTCAGCTTGGGCGGCGGGGGGGGGGGGGGAATGGATAACACAGCCTCCCCACTCCTTCAAGATGCCCCCAATCCTCTTACCACCTGCCTCATCCCACCTGCTCAATATTAGGCTTCTCAAATGGGGGGCTGCCCAGGGACCCCTCCACCACGGGCCGAGTCATCTGCAGGATGCATTTCCGCAGGAGCTGGAAGAAGAGGAGGGAGGAGTAGAGGTCAGCGGAATACAGAGCTGCAGGGCCCCCAGCCTCCCTCCTTCGCCCACACACACTCACTTGGAAGAAGCTCACCTTGAAGAGGTAGAAATAGACCTGCTTGGTGTCCGTATCCTCCTCCTTGTGAACAGACATGAACAGATTCTCCACGTCCACCACCATCCCCAAGAGTCGGTTAATCTCATCCTCTGACACATTCTCCAGGTGGGACACGTGGTCGGCTGTACGGATAAATGGCAGTTGGGAAAAAGAAACAGAAAAAATCAACAGGGCTTCCTATTCCTTTTCATCGCCAGCCAAGACACACCCTCAGTCCCTCCAATCAGCGTGACCGGCAACGAGACTGACCGCTCCTATCTGGGTGGCCTCTTGTCTCTTCTGGCTGGCAGATTTCCTTTCTCCTCCCCTGGGGCATACACGCTCCCAGACCAATTCCTCTTTAGGAGGCATCTTCGGTCTTTCAGAGATGCAACTATGTGGCATTAAGTCATCCTGTCCAAGTAGGACCCGGCACCTCCACCCCCACCCCCAGCTCCAAGGGCACTACCTGCCTTACCCAAGGGGTGCTCACAGCTGCGGCACAGCTCGCTCAGGTTGGCAGCTGGCTGCTGCAGGTCCATGCGGGGTGCAGTGGGGGGCTTGGGGTTTTTCCAGCCATTACACTTGCAGGTTTCATTGGCCTGGAGGCAGAAGAATCAGTCAATAACCCTGTAACCCGGGGTGAGAAGCCGTTCCCCAGCCAGAACTTTGCCCCCATTCCCACCCAAGTCCTAGGATGCCCCAAACCCCGCCCCCTCTCACCCCAGGCCCCGCCCCCACCTTGCAAGCCGAGAAGACCCCTAGCTTCTCAAGCTTCTTGGCGCGCGGCAGCCCCCGGACTTGCGCCTTCCTCTGGCTGGCGCGCTGCTGCTGGCTCAGGCCAGGTCGAGCCGGATCACCCCCGCTCCCGGTACCCCCACTTCCTACCCCGGGCCCCCCGGTCCCTGTGCTCCCGGCTGGGGCTGTAGCTGGGGCTGGGGCTGATGCCGGAGTGGGAGCCGGAGTCGGGGCCGAAGCCGGGCTGAGGGTAGGAGTCGGAGTTGGGGCGGGGGCTGGGGACTGAAGAGGACGGGGCTGCGCGGCCGGGGCCGGGGTCGAGGCCTGGGAAGGTTCCGTCATGGCCTCCCCGCAGCGGAGCGCGGCGCAGCGCGGCGCGGCGCTCCCAGCCCTAGGGCCGCATGGGCAACCGGCGTTCAGTGCGCAGGCGTCCATGCCCCGGGGCATGATGGGAATTGTAGTCTTTCACGGTCGCTCCCTTTGCCTCCAGCTTCCAGGCTTTTCTGTCCTGTCTCTTGATGTCGGCCAGACAAGTGAGGCCCGAGCGAGCACCCCAGATTGACTCCTCCTCACTTGTAATCTCTACTGAAGGCTTCCAAGATAGTAAAGATTGCTGCTCTTGGGACAAGGAGAAGTACCCCAGAACACAGGCTTCTGTTTGGGGAATCACCTCCCAAGCCCAAGGGTGAAAATGCAGGCCTGGGGCCTGGAGTCGAGTTGGCTTCTTGCGCATCTCCCTCCTGCCCCCACCCTGGCCCTATCCCACACGTCTCGGGACACAGAGTTGCACCCAGCGTGGCGATTTAGCAGCAGTTCTATTTCTTGACCTGTTAAGTGGTTACACGGGTGTGTTCTCTTTGCACACTTTTCTCTGCGTACATTATACTTCAACAAAAAGGGTTTATTTTATAAGCACTGAGCGCCACAGTAATGGCCGTGGTCAGGTAAAAGGCTCCCAAGGTGGAGAGGGAGTAGAGGCAGAGGAGGGCGGAACGGCTCTCCCGCCCACACGGTGGGCACCTCCCACGCAGGGCCCAAGTCTTCATCATTGTGGTCCCAGAGCCCAGCTCTGAGCTGCCACAGTAGGCCCGGGATGGAATGAAGGAAACCAGGAAGGCGCCTCCACCTCCCAGTCCCCATGTGTCGCAGGATTGTGCGTGGTCAGAGAACTGCAGGACGTTCCAAGAATGGATGACCCCACGGTCACACTGATGGCTCTGTTCAGGGGACAGTCCTCCTTCCCCCCAGGCCCGATTCTCAGAAGGGCAAGAGCCTGGCGGCTCATCTCATCTCCGCTCCGTACTGGTGACAGCTCCAGTGTTGGGCTTGAGCGCCACCAGCCCCGTTTGGCCTATCCGGTTGGGTCTCAGCCCCGGCCGGGCCCTCTGACTAAGGTGGGGAAGGGCCCGAGAAAGCGGCCGGATCCGAGATAAAAGCAGCAGCAGGGGACGCCAGGGCGGCTGCCAACCTGACCCGTGGAGGTAGGACGTGCACAGCTGACCCCATACTCTGTGGAAGCCAACCTCGCCGGAAGCCAAGGGAGCCCCCTGAGCGGGGAGGCGTCGCGCGAGCAGGAGCGGAGCCACGCGGGGCCACGAGGGCCCCCGCTCCCAGCGTCGGGCCCCCGCTCCCGGCGTCCGCCCCCCGGCCCAGCGCCGAGGGCTGCATTCGGAGCCTCGCGCCCTTCAACAGCAGTTGCTCACTCGGATGCAGCGGGTCAGTAGCAGTCTCCCCAACGGGAGCCAGTCGGCGTCCCGATGTCCCAGCGTGGCCTTTACTGAACAGAACCAGGTGCACCCTGCCGGTGCGGCAGCTCGCGGAAGATGTGGCAGCTGTACGGGGTGGCTTCCAGATGAAGATGTATGCCCACGGCTTCACCCCTGAGGAGCTGGTGGTTCAAGTGGACGGCGGATGCCTGATGGTGACTGGCCAGCGGCAACTGGAGGGCTGTGACCCGGATGGGAGCGGCTTCCGCGTGGCGCAGAAGGTGCACCAGCAAATGTCATTACCACCGGACCTGGATCCCGCCGCCGTGACCTGCTGCCTGACCCCCTCTGGCCAGCTGTGCGTCCGTGGCCAGTGCCGGGTGCTGCCTTCCCCTGAAGCCCAAACAGGACCCGCCTCGAGACTCAGGAGCCGTGCCTCTTAAGAAGGGTTCCAAACTAGCCTGACCCAGTAAACCACCACCGTAGTGAGCAACACAACAGCTTCAGAGTCTGCGGTCGTTTCTTGGGGCTGGGGTCAGAGGGGGAGGTAGAACAAAGGTAGAGGGAGGCCAGGTGGAGGGCCCAGAGGGGCAGGAAAGGCACCTCAAGGTGGTGGTCCACGATAAATCTGGCCCCCGGGAAGCTGGGGGAAGAGTGGGCAGTGTTGCTTTACTCAGCTCAGCTCACTGCTTGGACCAGCAGGGAGCAGCAGAGGGCCAAAAGGGCCCCAGCATCACTTGACTCCAGAACCAGCAGAGGGCCCCCCAGAGACTAGGGAGCAGACGGCTTGGACCCAGTGTGGGGCTGCCGTCTTGGCCTTATGACCAGTCCAAGGTTCCAGAGGTCGTCGGTGTTCCTTCCTCTTCAGAGAAGAGGGTGAGAGGACCCCATCTCTCACGAGCCTAGTACAGACTAATCAGAAAACCCCAAAGAGGTTGTTTCTGGTGTTCAGAGACCCAACTATTTTCAAATACAGACTGCACATACCCCAATATAACCTGGAGGGGCTGGGGGAGAGGCAAATGCAAGGCCCTCAACTTCAACCTTGGTGAGGTTCAGCCCCAGCTCACTCTCACCCCACTCCACCCAGTTAGAGCAGTAACAGCTGGCCTCTTTCTCTTGGTTACCATGACCACCAACATCCCCTCACTTTGGGGGCGGGGGGGAAGAAAGCTTTTGTTTAACAAGATTTAGAGGTTCATTTTAAATTAACTTCAAGTAAGCTAGAGAGGCTACGGTCTGATAAACTCTGCCAGAGAAAGACAAGGAAGACAAGCAGGAGGTCGATCGATCGGCTGACTATATTGACAAGATACTGATTGGTTACATGTTGAAGAAAACATACAATACAAAATACAGAAAAAGTTGGTTCCATCCCCTCCCACTACCCCCCCTTACCCACCCACCCCCAAATACTCATCATTGTGATTTGGTCAGAACAGGGCTCAGAGCCAGAGGTCAGGGTGACCAAGGACGAGGGGGAAGGGGGCTGTGGGCAATGGGTTCGTGGCTGTCACAATAATGCTGTGGTAATGCTGTGGGTTCTCTCCCAGCTGTGAGTCAGGCGGTGGGGAGGGGACGCTGCAGCCTGATGACAGCCAGCTGAGGGAAGAGCTGCCTCCCCCTTCCCTGGCCCCTGGGGCCTGCCCCGTCACCCAGAACGAAGCGCACTCCAAACACAGTTAAGGATACGGATGCTCTTGCTGAGCCCGCTAATCAGCAAGAGGGAAAGAAGGGGAACTGCTCCAACCCCCGCCTCCCCATACACCAGGGTGGGGGGAACAGGGGCACGTGGCTACTACCGGCAAAGGAAGAGTGGGAGAGCAGTAGAAAGGGCAGAAGTGGGAAGAGCAGATCATATATATTAAAAAAGTGACTTAAGACTTAAAATTGAATTAGTATTTGTACAGAAAGGTGCAGGTGGAATAACTCACTCCGGCCTATGATCAAAATGATATGGAGAAACCATGGTGGGCCCCTCCCCCTGCCCCCCAGTGGTGGCCCGAGTCGGTAAGTGCGATTGGTTAGAGTGGATTCCAGTCGGGTCGTTGAGGCGGAGGAGGTGGGGGCAGTGGGCAGGTAAGGGGGGCTCAGTTGCTGCAGCACTGGCTCCGGCTGGCAGGGTTGTTCTCCTGGAGGTCCACTCCTCGGTTCCGGCCCGGAGCACAAGCTGTATTCTGGGGCTCGTTCTTGGGAAGCTTCTTAGCTGTTTGGGAGACGAGGGGGAAGATGGGTGTTTGTGGGGGAACCCTAGTACTCTCCCAAGTCCACTTGGGTGCCACCCAACATCCTGATGGGTGTGTGTTCTACGTGCCAAGTATATTTTGGGTCTTTCAGGAAACTGAGGCAAAGGGGTTAAATAACTTGCCCAGGACCACAGAGTTAGTAAGTGGCAGAGCAAGGATTCAAACCCACACAGGATGACTCTAGAGCCAAATGACCCCCAAAATCCTAAGTGGGTAGGGGGCCGGTGATGTACAGCTTTAGGTGGGTGGTACGCTGCAGGGTCAGGAAGTGAAGGGTGAGACTTTGCCCAGGCTTTAGAAACCTCTGGAGTGAGCGATCTATATCTGAGAGTCAGATGAAAAAGAAAACAATTTTATCAAAGTATCAAAAATGGTAAAAGATCTGTTGGTGAAGGGACCCCACAGACCTACACAGAACAGCAGGCAAGTAACACACCCTGGTTGGGGGAGGGGAGCCGAGGCAACTTACCTATTGCCATGAAAATTTCATTCACGTTCATCGCAGTCTTTGCTGATGTCTCCATAAACAGCAAACTGTTGTCCTCTGCATAGGCTTGTGCTTCCTGATTTGGATGGAGGTGAGAAAGTGGGTGGGAGGGAAACACTGACAGTTGGCAGGGGCTGAGGCCCAGGATAAAAATCTTCCCTGATCACAGTGTCTTCCACACAACAGAGACAACACAGGGGTGTTCAGGCCTAAGGCTCCCCTGCTCTGAGCTCCCCCACTTCACATACAGCACCTCTCAGCTCACACACGTCAGCAGAAGTTTGACTCGGGTCTCCATAGGCCCATTCTGCCTTCTTGCTCTTCAAAATCACTAGGCTAGGAAATATTTCTAGAAAGCTATCCTACAAATACACTTGCACATTTGGACAAAAGTATGTGGATGTCGACTACGGCACTGTTTCCAGTCTTTTGCAATTACACACGACCTAGAAGTCCATCGGGTGGGGAGTGGTAAAAAAGTTAAGTATATAGTATGTAAAGAAAGGGATTCATACACTTCTGCATGTTTCCAGAAAGACAAGAAACTGCAAGGAACTTGGGGGAAGGGAGACTGAGTTTCTAGGGTCAGAGACCCAAATTTCATCCTGTATACCTTCTTGTACTGTTTACAATCTCCTATGTGCACATATTACCTGAAAAAGTCTGTCTTTTTCACCATTTCATTAAAAAGCCAGTTCATAGAAAAAATTAGCCGAAGCTTCTGCTATCCATATGCACACACACCCCACCACCACTGACAGAGAAGGCGGAGTGGTGGACGGCATCCCCTTTAGGCCCATGCTCGAGCCGTGAGGGGACAGCAAACAGAAGCTCCCCTGCTGCCGCCCAACGCAGCCCTTCACAAAGCCCGAGCAGCCTGGGGAAGCCGAGTGGAGCTGGCTCGTCCTCCCCCGGGGCCTGGTCCGTCCCCCACCTGGAACTCCACGGCTCTCTTGCTGGCCAGGTCGGCCTTGTTGCCCGCGAGCGCGATGACAATGTTGGGGCTGGCCTGCCTCTGCAACTCCTTCACCCAGTTCTTGGCCCGTGCAAACGTATCCTGGGGAGACAGGGCCAGAGCGTCAACAGGACGGAGCAGGCATTCTGCCCAGGGCTGTTCACTGGAGAAGCTGGCGCTGGCAGAGCCGAGGTGTCTAAGATGTCATCACCCTGAAGATTCTGGCGAGACACCCCCAAACACCAGAGGAAATGTGCCCACCCCCCCATTCAGGAACAAAGGGTCGAGAAGCAAGGGAAAATCTTTACTGTGTTGGTGATGTCGTAGACCACGATGGCAGCCTGGGCCCCCCGATAGTACATGGGGGCCAGGCTGTGATACCGCTCCTGTCCAGCTGTGTCCCAGATCTCAAACTTGACTGTTGTGTCGTCCAAGCAGACGGTCTGTGTGAGGAAGGCCGCTGGAAGAGGGAGGGCAGTGTTACCAGGCGCAGAGGGGCCGAGGAGACACCCTCACGTATCTGCACTTAGAAGCCCGAAAACCCCCAACCCGGCGGCCAGAGAAGCCGAACAAGGCAGGTGGAGCGGGCGCTTCTGTGAGTCGAGGGGGCTGGGGGTTGCACAGGCTTTACAGACCCAGCCAGGCAAGAGTGGGAGGAGAAGGGAAGCCTGCTTGTACTTCAGCCATTTCAGGAGCCCTCTCTGAAGGACAGCGGCGAGGGGCAGGACAGGGAAAGTCTAGGAGAAGCCTGGCTCCAAGCACAAAAGGGTGGGCCCACGCTCCTCCTCTCCTCCCTCCCCTCAGAGAACAGTCCTAGCCCCTCCGTCTGCTCCAGCCCAGGGGCATGGCTGGCCTTCGGTGTCCTGAGGACACTCTCACACACACTCAGCCACGCTGGGGAGACTGAAGTACACGCCGTGCTACTGCCAGGCGGGGGCTGGGTGGCCGGCTTCCCGCTACCCCTGCCACCTCCAGGCACGCTGGCTAGCTGCCACCCTCGGCTTTGCCCTCGACTTTATTCCTGATTGGCTCGACCTTCAGGGAACACAGTGACCCCATCTCTGGCCTGAGGAGGCAGGGGAACACACGGCACTTGTGCACGTGCTTCAAAGGAGTCTCGCAGCTGGGGCTGGCAGGTGGGAGTCGCAGCAGAGGATCCCGACGGCTCTGTGCAGGAAGCCCGCTCTCCTGCCCGGCCCTCCCCCCTCCTCCCTGAGGGGCCTGGGGCACCGCCTCACTTCCCCTCTCCAGCTCCTGACTCCAGTGCTGCAGAGGCACAGAAGACTGCTGACACGGCCTACTTTGTTTCCAGCTGCCTGGAAACCTCCTGCCGACCAAGAGGGTAGAAAAAGGATGACTCAAGCCCAAGGTCGGCCCCAGCCCCTCGGGGTGTGTACTGGCCACTGAGGCAGGAGGCTGGGTCCAGACCCTCACGTGCTAAATGCTGACCACTGGGAAATCAATGACGGGCTCAGAGCTCAAGAAGGGGTAAAGGTCAGCTTCAGAAACACCAGCCCACTTACGAGGCCATTTCCCCATTCTGGAACGTGGGGGAGGCCGGGATAGATGCACTGCCTGGTAGCGGTAAGAAGAACCCTCAGAGAGGCAGACGCAGCCTCTCCCTCCCCAGGCCAGTGGAAGGATGTACCCGGGGCCACACAAAGAAATCAAGAGACGGAACCAGGAGAGGAAGGCAGTTTTCGAATCTCAGCTAATTCCTACTAGATGCTTGTTGGGACTCTTGACATGGAGACCAGCTGCTGGGTTTGATTCCAGGGCCCAGATGAGGCAAGGTGCTGCTGCCCCAGGCATGCTTAGCCTCTGGGCAGTCAGCTTCCCTTCTCCTCCACGCCAAGGCATTTCTTCCACTTCCCTGAGGCCACCCCCTCTCCCTTGGGCCCACTCACCTCCAATTGTGCTCTCCTGGTACTCGTGGAATTGACCCTTGACAAAGCGGAGGACGAGGCTGGATTTGCCCACTGCGGACTCCCCCAGCAGGACCAGCTTAAACTGACAGATCTTGTTCCCAGCAGCTGGTCCGTTGGGTCGTGCTGCACCTCCCCGACCCGCCATGGCCCGTCCCGCTGCAGTGGTGCCGGTGAGCGTGGGGGCGGGGGCCAGTGCTGTGCAAAGAGGCACTTAGTGGGGAGGGGCCTCCAACTGCAAGGGAGAAATCGGAAGTGCTGGGTTAGGCCAAAGACTGCCACCCAGTGAGCCCTCCCTAAACCACAGGTCACTGCCCCGCCCTGATGACCTGGCTGACTGCCTCCCCTCTCCCTAACCCCCCGCC